ACAAAAACTTGTACATAAATGTTCCTAGCAGTATTCTTTATAATAACCCAAAAGTAGAAATCAACTAAATGTCAATCAACTGGTGAATGCATAAAGAAAATGTGGTATATCCATGCAGTGGGATATTATTTCATGGTACAATATGAATAAAAAATAAAACTTCAAAATATCATGCTAAATGAAAGAAGCCAGGTAAAAAGGCAATATATATAGTTCTATTTATATGAAATGTTTAGAACAGGCAAATCCATAGAGACAGAAAGTAGATTATGGTGGCCAGAAGCTGGGGGAAATGAGGAAGGGAGAGTGACTGCTATTGGATGTGGAATTTTTCTTAGCAGTAACGAAAATGTTCTGGAATTAGAACGTAGTGATGGCTTCACATCCTTGGAATATACTAAAAACTATAGAATGAACTGAATAATATGTGAATTATATCTCAATAAAACTATGATTTTTTAAAAAGATACACGTGCTCAAATCTCAGTGTCTAAATTCTTATTTGAATTGTTATGAAGTAGATAAACATAGTCAATGGGTGATTGTCAATTACTTAAATAATTTACTGATAAAGTGACAAAGGGTTTCTACTTTGATGGACTTGATATATCTGAGAATAATACTGTGTTGCACTTCCTCGGGAGTTTCTCTTATAGAGAACAGGGATTCTGCCTCCCTACAGATTAAACGGAATAAGAAGCCCTACATTAAAAGACGGAAGCTGACCATCGCATCCTTGAGCCATGACTGTTAAGTGGAGTCCTGCAGGCAGTGCACTATTCGTGCAGGCTATGATGCAGATGGTGCCTTCTGAAGCTCTGCTTGCCAGCAGCCTGTTATGTTCCTCAAGGAATCTCAAACCCAGACACACTTCGGTAAGAACATCACCACCATTAATTATCAGAGAACACAATTTTAATTGTGACTGTGAATGTGAACTCTGATTCACAGGAATCTCTCTATAGTCTTCACAACACATACTTAAAATATTTCTCCTCAGCCCGGAGGAAAACTTAAGTGTACTCACTTAGCCTGTAACCATAAACACACTTACAGTGAGTTCGATAGTCAGCTGTACATAAAGATCACTAGAATGAACTGTTGCCTTTAAACCTCAGGTCCTCAGGATTTGCAGTGTTCAAATTCCAGAGCTTTCCATGCAGTTTTACAGTGGAAGCCTCTTACTTTCAGACCAGAAGTGAGCTTAGAAAAAGTAAAGAAGAAATATATTTTACTTATTGTTGGAAGAAAAAGGGCAAAAATTAGATGTTCTATTATGCATCCTATATTTATTTCTTGGAGGTACTTTCTATTAGGCACCAGTAGGATCCATTCATCCTAGACTGCATTTAAGATTTTTCCCTTTTATAGTATCCCAAAACACAGAAGGGATCTAGCAAGGACAGGTAACTCCTCTTATAGTCTTGTCATTAGTGAATACTTATGAATATCTAGCAGCTCTTAACCTGCCAGCTGAGACTTCTTCAGATCTAAGTAAGACTTCTTATTTTACATAGCTTCCTACAGCAGCACATTTCTGGATCCACCTCACTGGGAGGACTCTGTCAACAATCAGCATTCCACTGGCATTAACACGCAATAAAAGACAATAAGCATGACTCAATTAAATCACAAAAAACTGTCTTCAAATAACATTAACCCAGGAATTTTCAAAACCTATGTGGGGGCTCTGCTGTGTGGCTAACATTAAGGTCAGTCAGTGCTTTGAAAACATGTGCTGAAGCACCGAACAAGCCCACCCATAAGGTGCTTTAGAGGAAAAAGCAAAACTCTGTTTTTGATTTATCTCCTTCCCATACTGCATCCAGATATTTTACAATGTACAGTATGCAATTATCAATTAGGTCTCACTACTTCAAAGATTAAGAACTAATTTCCCTTTGAGATGTCAATGGAAATTTAATTTGCACAGAAGATACACTTTGGGAAACCTTTAGAGTCAGACCTATTTAAAACAAACAAACAAACAGTGCAGACAGTGGTTCAGAGAAAATATGTAAGTACCCACCATAACAATTTATAAGATATTTGATGTCTGGGTATGCCAATCAACAAATCCCACAGCCAGGAAAAAGTCTTATAAAAAAATTGCCAAGATTCAAGAGGAAAGATGGCACTCTTCTACCAATATGTAAATGTACACATATTTATGTCTCACTCACCAAGAAGGCTGGATGTGTTTCTTACAGAACCAGAGGTTTTTTGTTTGTTTTAGTTCTGTTTTTGTTTTTGATCTAGGTTTAAATCTATAGCATTTTAGGTTTCATTATATTGAACACTTAAACATTTCAGTTAAAACCACTCTCATTGCACTAAGCCATTAGAAAAAATATATGATTTCAGCAAAGTAAAAATAAATAAAACAAATTCATATATTACACAATAAAAATTTTTAAAGATTTCATTGTTTGAGGAAATTACTAAAATTCTTTCCCTTCAATTGCAGCAAAAGGCATGGATAAATGACCATGGACAGATGTTGAACTCATGAGTAAACAGTAAAGGAAAATGTTCTGGCACATTTAAGATATGTCTTATATCTTAAATTTTAAATTATTATTTTAAGTTATGATTAAAAAATTATTAGTAAGTTACAAATTCTTTCAAGATTGAATTTCTCTTGTAAGAAAGCTATAAAAATATGCTAATGAAAGTGGAAATCAAATAAAAACAATCATTTAAAGTAGATCTTTAAGATAAATTTAACACATTTAAAGCATGGTAGCTTTTTAAAAAACTGTAGACATTAAAATACATATGGATATTATAGGTTAATTAAGAAATCATTAAAAATGATGGCAACAGAATGACTAAATGTCTTTAGATAGACAATTACTATTTATTAAATTTAGAACCTAAAAAACTTAGAAATTCAAGCTATGAAGGCAACCAATCAGGATAACTTAAAATAAGGAATGAATTTTTCATTGAAAATATTAGAAGATTGCCATATTAATTTTAAAAAACACTTTAAGTTTACTGGTTGTATTAGTTTCTTATGGCAGCTATAACAAATTATCAAAAACTTATGGATTAAAACAATACAAATTAATTCTCTTACTGTTCTGGAGCCTCTGCAGGGAGATCTGCATCCTGGCCTTTTGTAGCTTCTAGAAGAATCTGCATTCCTCAGCTTATGGCCTCTTCTCCCACCTTCAAAGCACGTGGCGCCAATCTCTGCTTCCCTCATCACATTGCCCTCTCCTCCCTGTAGTCAAATCTCCCCCTGTCTCTCTCTTAAAAGGATACTTGTGATTGCATTAAGGGCCCCCCCATATTATCCAGGATAATTTCCCTTATCTCAAGATCCTCAACTTAATCACAACTGCAAAGTCCCTTTGCTAAGGTAACATTCAAGGTTTCATGGATTAGAACAAGGCTATCTTTGGGGGTCATTATTCAGTCTACTGCACCAGTCCAAAAAATATATTTAAAAATTCCCACCTCCATCCTAGGAGTTACACAAGTTAACACTTTCTTGATCAGTTTTACCTTGTATGTGTCATTTTCCATTGGGAAGTTATAGCCTGGTTAGACTGGCTTACATTCAATATCTTTCAACTGAAGGTCTGTCTCTGAAAGTATCTATGTGGTCTCTCAGTCCAAGCTAGAGACACTGGACAACATAATGAAGTTGGCTGGTTCCTTTGAAAGATAGGTACAGACTTCATTATTCTTCCCATTACTAGTCACATGGATGGATGGATGGATGGATGGATGGATGGATTTTGCTTAGTTTTGTCTAATCAATGGATAAGTGATCTAGATTTCAAATCAAAACACACTTCTCAAAATTATTCCTAACTGGTCTGAAAGGCAAGCCTCGGAAAGTAGAAATAATGTGGGCCTAAGAGTTACAACTATGTGCTTACTAGTTAACTACTAGGATCTATGTGATACTAGGTAGTCAAATGCTCAATATTTTAGATGCTCAGTTATTCATCTATGAAATGATGATGCAAATTATACACCAGAGATTTATTGTGAAAACACACTTTAGTTTTGCTATAATGGCTGGCATAGGATAGTTGCTCAATAGATACTTGTTCCTTTCTATCTTTTATATTAAAAAGCTTGTCTACAGAAGTGCATAGTACATACAACAGGATCAGTTTATCACTGTTCAGGATGGTCTAAAGAATAAACTCAGATACAACTGTTAAAGTAATATGAAAATAATAATGATCTCATTAAGCATTTAATAACAATATATATTGTAAGTGTGAAATAAAGTGTTGCTAAGTTTAATAAAAGTCTGACAATTGGGAAATTAAAGTTGTCATTTAACCATTTAAAAGGTTATTTACCTATGTCATTAAATTATCATTGAATGGACAATTCTCTCAATTTCCTATACTTCTTGCATTTGTATTATGTCTTTCCAAAATGTTTACATTCAAAATTCCACCAAGCCTCATTTAGTAAGTATGACTTAGGTATCAGAACAACAACTTTAAGAATCCCTTTGATAGTGATAGATGCTACACGTATTTTTCTAGATCACGGAAGGTTAGTATGAAAATCCACATACTAAGGTGTAAAGTAAAACTTCCTTTCCTCTACAAAAACATTTGAAGTTATTCTCCTGAGAAATGTCTACTTTATGTATCATTCTTAACAGGGTAAAGAAGTGAATAAAGTACCATCCCTGCCAACAGAAGACAGTTCTCAACTATGCAGCAATTGGTCACTAACGTGTTCAGAAGCAGTCTAGAGTTCCTCAGATCTCCATAGGATATGTCATTAAATCTTCTCCTCCCGCTGGGTCTGACTTCTGGGGAAAAAAGCATATGGTATAAAAATTACTGTATTTGGTAGTGAATACTAATGAGTGCTCAGGAGCCTCATTCTTCAGTCTCTATGGCCTTTAGCATGTAGCTGATTGTGTGACATGCTTTGATTTGATTTAATAATCTTTTTGAATTTATAATTCAGAATCTACTGTTTAAAATGTATCTGTAAAATCAGAAGCCCACATATATGGAGAGACATACACATTTATTTTTGGTGTTATCCCATGAACAGATTATAAAATTAAGGCAAGAAGACCAAGGTCTGTCCAAGACAGAGCTTACAAAGGTGCTCATTCCTCTTAAATTAGTAGGATCTCGAAATAGATTCAACACAAACATAGAAATATCAGTAATAGGGTAACACTGTTTTTCTAGTGAGGGAACTGGAAGCTCAGTGATGTTATGTGGACTAAAAAGCTGTATATTGACTTCTATATGGACATTTTCATCATTGTATGGAATGGCAGAAGAAAATGTTCTGTAATGTGCAGAAATCATTCTATCATCTATATAAAACAATCAATAGCATTTTCTGTGTTATAATAATTTGAAAATTGAATTTCACACGTTAGATTACACAGAGCATATTTTGCAATACTCAAAATCCAGAATGGCTAATAAAAAGAATTCCAAGGAAATAAATAAGAGAAATTTGGTTAAAGATGTAACTTTACTCCTTATAAACAGCTTTCTAAAGATTTACATAAAGCTAATTATACTGGCTTAACACTTGAAGAAGTAGTATTGTGCTACAAAGTATGACAGTAATAGTGCTGTGTTACCTCAGATGGCATATATCACTTGGCTAATTCAGCTAATAACATAAATAGTACACAAATTTATTTACCAAGGCCAGTAAAAAAATTCTCAGAAATTGGGTACTTTTGAATCAAATATCACTGTAAAGACAATACAGATTCCATAATAAATGCTGTTATTTTCTAATGTGCCCATAATGAAAAATAATATAAAATATGGATTTCGTATCAAAAGTCTTTTTCAAAAACTACAGTCAGAAGTTATTATCCACATCAGAAGCTTATATCACTAGGGAGTTAACTGATTAATACAAAAACAAATACATATTACAAATATTCTTTTGTTCTTCACTTAATCATGATGCAAACTGCAAAGATTTAACCTTTAAGGGTTAAAGAGTTTAATCAATGTCAATATCTGATCTTCTCAAGGCGATAAAGAACAGTCTGTCTAGTGAAACCCAACAGAACATCAGTTTGTCAAGCCACAAAGCACCCAAAAGCTTGTCAAGTAAGTTACCAGAAACCTCTTTGTGGTCAGAACTCAGCTCCTTCCTGCTTGACCTATTATTTGATATTTGACCACTTGGTTGCAAGACACTTGCTCTTTCTAGCTGAAATGTCACTGGGGCATCTTGTCAGCTCCCCGACATCTCGGCCTGACATACAATTTTACTTTTGTGTGCTACAAGGCAGAAAATACAGGGCAATGGCCTTGTTTCAAATTCTGTCAGCATCAAAGATGGGCGTCACTCTCGGGTTCTACCAACAACAAAAATAAAAAAGGAGTCTATTTTGAAGGTCAAAACAGTCATTATCTTGAAGTTTTTTAGCTTATACTATTTAAGTATTACCTGCTGTACTGGTGTGGGAACTGTCCTTATAAAGCGCCTAACCATACCACAGAAATCCTCCCAGCACAATTGCTCTACTTTCTTATCACAGGCAGGCTTGATAAAAAGATGAGTTTTCAATGTCTGCAGGGACCAGATTCAGCAGTTAACTTGTTCAAATGGGCAAGTGGTATCATGTAGCTTTACAAGGAGCAACCTGACCTTCTCACATTGACCAGGAGTGACATTATTGTGCAGGAGGAGAAGCAGTCACATCATTTCTGTTTTGCACAACCTGCTTAAAGTTTGCAACTAAATGCTTGTCTTCAGTTGAGCTGACAAGAGAGAAGAGGGGGCTCAGTGAACCATGGCAGGGCTGCCATGAAATGACAGGAATCATTGGCATACATTTCAAATAGCTCTTTCAATCCTATTAAAGTATTGCAGTCCTGCTTTAAAATAGACAAGTATGAAACAACTTTGATAGATAGAGACTAAAATGGCTTATTGATTTTTTTAAGTCTGAAGGAAATTACCCAAAATGTGTCATTCTTTAACATTTAAAAATATGTTACATAAAAATGAGCAACTGTGATAATAAATAAAACTTAGAAGGAAAAAAGTTGGTTATTTCATTATTCAAGAGACAGATATCTGCACACATCAAGATATCATACAATTTAAAACCTATTGCCACGTGTGCTGAAACAAAATTTAACTGATATGAAAACCCCCCTTTGAAACAATTTTAATTGTACTGTTAACTCTTCCCACATTTTTTTTTTATTTCATAAAGTCATAATCCAATCTGAGTTGGTCTTTTGGCATTAGTAGACATGGTCGCTGGAGAGGAATGAGGGGACGTGCCAGCGTGGGGTGCAGGCTTTACAAATGTCTCCTTTAAAAAATTGTAAGTTGTATCCAGTTCAGCTTTTAGTGGCAAAAAATCCCCGACACCAATTGTGACAGCAGGAAGGGCAGCTCTTGAAGGAATGGAGAGAGTTGAATGGTCTCGTGACTCTGTCTATGATATAAAAAAGAAAAAATAAACAAACTAGAATTGGAAAGTCCTAAACCAAGTCTAAAACCATAAACAGAGAATTGGACTAATAACCACTGTACTAGGAAGTGGGGTAGAAATTGCCACTTAAATAATCTGTATGATAATATATAAATATTAAATTACTTTCCAAGTGTGCTTGAATCTCTTATTTGTTCTATGTCATAAACTTTTCAGGACATCACGAGTTTGCCTAAACACTAAAACTTTGTATGAACTTTTATAAGGTTATTGAATCAAAGAGTCACTATGATCAGGCATTTTTACCTCTGCTTCGATCTGCTGGCAATTTACAGAAATACACAGTGCTAATAGAGTTTATGTCATTTTGCTATGCAATATGCACTGTATAATATGGAAGATTCAACTGCTTAGAAAATGAACTTTGGGCATTTATGTTTTTCAAATCTATCAGCCTGACTTATCTAATGGATAAACATAGCACAAAAAAAGATGTCAATCCCAGTGGCCTCTAGAAAATAGCATACTTGACATATAAAACGATAATGAGGTGAATTTTTTGCCTTTACTTTTGATAATAATGTCACCACCTCCTTGTTTTAGTAAAAACTGGTCTATTATTAATATTTGGAAATCATGTATCAGAATATGGGATTGCAACTTGAAAGCTATTTGTCACATTTTAAAACATTACTCATACCCAGAAACCATTGGAAATCAAATTTAAGAAATCCACACACTCATGAAGTACTTGAAAACAGAATATTTTGATGAAGCTATATATTTAAGCCCAAAGTAATACTGGTAATCAGCTTTTTTTAAAGTCATTTTTAAATTCATTTAATATGAATGATGTCTTACCAGTAATGCAGATAGGCATTATTTTATGACATTTATAGATAGGAAAATGGTGATCAATTGTATTTCAGAATTTTCCAGATTCCCAGCAAATAAATATTGCTGAGGTAAAAGTCTAGTCATAAATGTCTCCAGTAAAACCCACATTTTATATTGCAGGGCATTTTTAAAAATCTTCTTGGTAGAGTCTCTTACAGTTTTGACAATAAAATAGTGTGAACTCTAAGGATCTGCTTTATTATGTCATGTTATACAAAACCATTTCTACATGTGAAAACAAGAAGGAAGCTATAACCGGCTTTAGGAAAGTATTATAAATTCAACTGTTGTATGTGTTACCGTTTTTGTGGATTTTTAAAAACTACAACTGGAGAAAAATCAATGGCTGCATCTAACACCTAGTTCAGCAATTTTCTTTGATCTCTGTTCTTTTGATTTCTTGATACTCCACTGCAAGCCTAGAGCTGACAGAAATCATCTCTTTTTATGCTGGGAGTTAAGAAGCACCTAAAATGACCATTTGAATGGCTTTATGAAGGAGAGGGTTTAGCTATCCCCATGGAAGGAAAAGAAATACTGAGATCATGTGTTGACCCTGATTAGCAGCACTGATGAGATTTCACTTGCAAAAGCTTAATTAATACTGTACCTGAGTGTATCAGTTCAGAATCCAAACACAGGCATCTGACTACATCAGAGGCACTTTTACTGCACTAGAACTACTTTTTCTGATTTTTTTTTTTAAGCTGTGAGTCTGAATTGGCAGCATCATTACCTGATTGATTTTGCTGCTCTAAAGACTACAATGCCACCTACAAACCTATTCTGTCAGACCTGGGGGTGGGGGTAGATGCTGGAGAAGCAGGAGATGGTGTGGCCTGATTTTCTTCTTAAGAAAACTTAGAGCAACAGTATTCTTTATTACGATAAAAGAACACTGTCAGGCAAGTCTTCAAAAGCTTGTTATTACATCTTTATACTTCAAGTCCTGGTCTAAGAAAACTACGTATGAAAAGAGAGAAGTGTGCAGGATCAGACTAAGGAAGGTCAGGTATTCTCAGAAGGTATTTTCTTCCAGATGCCTTTGACTAGAGAAAGGTGTGCCAAACTGACCAATCACTTCTATTTTGCAATAGTAAAGATATATATAATTTACTCAAATCTGTACTATGTACTTGAAGTTGCTTTCTCAGTCTTGTGAGTCCATCGTCCTAACACATTACACATTAGGAAGGCTGTTCTTTCAGGAAGGCCTCCTTAATAGTCTGTTGATCTTGGCCTCTATGAAGTGGTCCTTCTATTGCCTTTTCTTGTTTTACTTTATAGTATGTCTTATTTTCTACCATGTTATCTGAAAACATCTTTTCACCTAACATAACTTTTTTTACTAAAATACCTTGAAATGGGGTGTTGAGCATTTCTCTAGTATTTCAAATCAAATCTCACTTTTACATAGTTATTTTCTGACCTTATGCCCTACCCATGGAAAATAACCTTAACAAAAACAGAGATTTCCTTAAAGATTTGCACCCCCAAGTAAACAGATATACTTTTGTGCAGTTGAAAACAATTTATTTTGTTACTAGGTGTTTGCTATAGTCATCCATTTCAAGAAAAAAAATTGTTTTTCATGAAATGGGATAAAATCTGATTTTAAGTCACTTAATAACTTAAATACAAGCCAGCAAAAATTCTGGTGAAATCCTGACTTGAAAATGTGGTGTTACCTTACTACACTGACGGACAGTGAGTTTAGTGGTGTAAGAAGGGACTTGATAATATGGGTGAATGTAGTAGCCACAATGTTTTTCATGTGAAACCTTCATAAGAGTGTATATTAATGATACCTTAATAAAAAAAAAAAAGAAAATGTGATGCTAAAAAAAACAAGTAAATATGCACTATTTTTCTTGCTACAAATAATATTCAGAAACATAACACTTTTAATATGACACACAGAATAAAAGGCAGTTAAATAACTTTTTATCAGAGACCATTAAAGTTAATATTCACGACCTGATCTTACATTTTAAATCTGTAAAGTCCATGGTCATTTATGTTACCTTCTAAAACTGTTGAGGTGTTCTGGTAGTCTCTCATGTAAATATAAATTTAAGCAATTTTTCAAAAAGAAATTAGTTACCCGAAATAAAAGCTAGGTGCCATGTGAATCTTTATAGAAGCACTTTTATTTATGCAATAAGCTGTAAATGATTCTGTTTGAACTGTTAAAGTCCATCAGCTAAATGTATATTCACAACACCAAATGTGTCTACTAAATTTCTGTGTTTTAAAAATTTTATGAAATACAGTAATTGGAAATGTCCAATAGCCATTTTTCAAGACTTTAATATCTTGATTTTCTAAGAGTGTTTTTCCAACACAAAAAGTAAATAAAGCATTAGTCTAATAATAAGATAATTGCCCAATCAATTCTCTATAAATCAAACCCATTTTGCAGACCAAGGCTTCTGAAACAATGACACTTAGCAATTTGTTTTCTGTGTAACATTTATGACCAAGTTAAGTCTTCTGGAATCAATTATTATAAAAAGTGATGGGTGATGTGGTTCAGTAAGCTTGAATAGTATTGCATGGAGATTATGCTAGGTGCATTGTTTGGTGGAAAGAGTTCTAGACTGGAGATCACAAAACTATACAGTTTTTCCTCCCAGTTCTATTACAGTCTGGTTGGGTCCCTTTGGGCAGGTGAATCAGTTCATGTAGGTCTCACTTCCCTTGCCTATAAGATGAAGAGCTAGACTCTTTCCAGCCCTAAAGGTCTACAGAACATAATTCCATGTGTGATGGCATTTGATATTACGTTAACAGCCAATCTGTGTGGATGATGCTAACCCAGAAATCAGAATCTCCCAAATATAATACTTAAGATTTGGAGAGGATATAGATAAGCCATTCTTCAGGGGAAGGAATACATATTACACATGGTTCTAAAAAAAAGCCAAATAGGTAACACATTTAGCCAGTTTAGATGGTGTGACTTAATTAAATTAAATTCTGTAGTACATTTTTTAGTACTTTCTCCATGATTATGCTTTAAGCTCTGTAAATTATTGATTTGTTTTTAGTAGAGTGTGCAACTCCACATAGCTGATGAAGGATTCCAAGTACCCACAAGAGGGCCACAATGAGGCTCCCTCGCCATTTCTACCTTAGCTGCTAAAGTGTTCTTACCACTCAGATCTCAGTACTCAGTATCAAAGAGTTTTCTTCCTTCCAAATACTTCAAGTAAGTTCACCATATTCTATTTTCCAGTCCTGCCATGCTGGCATTCTAGGACACTGCAATTTTCATAATTAGCATTGGCAATAATCATATATACAGTTATCTACTGTGGATGCTCAAATTATATATAAAATATATACATGCACATACACATATACGTGCACCTGATAAATACATATACTTGCTATATGAATTTGCACACATACTTTGTGTATACATATGTGTGTGTATATAAACATATATATGTATATGTGCTGGATGATGCTGCAGGTCTTCCCAGCCTGACTCACAAGCTCTTTGCTTCCCTGGCCAGCCCCGTCTACCATTTCTCACTTGTATTCTGCAATCCAGTTACATGCAACTTGTGAGTCTCCAAACAGAATATTGTATAGCTCACACCACCTCCTCTCTGTCCACTGAGATACCCTTCTGTCCTTTGTGGGAGTGACTGCCTGCTCAAGTTTTCCCTCTTCATAAGGCCTATAGATATCCTTGCCCCACCTTTCCCAACATTAGTTAGCTGCAACATCCATTCACACTTTTATATTCCTTCAGGACATTTATTTCTCTATTTTTACTGTATTTCTATACACTTTCATCTCCCCTGAAAAACTATGAGCACCTAGCATGATGGAATCATGACTTTGTATTTCTATCACTTAGCAGAGTATCTAGGACTAAATAAGATTTCCAGTTGATGAATGAATGAATGAACAAACCATGCGTGTAATTGCTTCATGGTGTTGGTCTTATATTACTATTTGGCTATTTCACGTATATACAGACTATGTCCCATTTAAAGTAGCATAGTATAGTGGGAAGGAAGCTGGGCTTTGAAGCTAGAGAGACTGCAGATTCTAATCTCGATTTTGCCATGTATAAACTATGTGATCTTTGA